TGATAATATTTTATAATAGCTGTATCCCTTAGGGAAAACTTGTTTATGATATTAATATTCAGTTTTTTTTCCCATCAAAATACTATCCCTAGGTGAAAATGTCACCATTCATTATCACAAAGAAAAAAACTTTCATGGTCAGGCAGTTTAAGATAATATTTTTCTCTCTATAAGATAATCATTAAATGTCTATATCGAAGGGAAATTGTTTTTATTTTCCCTACATTTAATGCTGAATTTGAAAATATGTAAGTCTTTTAGGGTTAATGTTTTCAATGCTTCTTATTTTGTGGGGTAAACAAAACTCTACACAACCTAAATAATTGCTGAAACCAATTGCTTCCAATCCTATTTAGTTTCTAATCTAATATTAAAGTTGTATCATTTTAACATGTTCTTGTAAATTAATTTGATAAAATTTGTGTTTGTTCATGTAATAGCCCATTAAATATTGCTTGATCAAGTAATCTTGTCTAATGAGAATCCACCACAGGCACTTGTCTCTTAATTTTTCCCACATATATACCTTAATATAACATTATATTAAAGTATATATGAAAATATTTTCCGAGACAAGTGCCTGTGGAATCTACCAAACATCTCAACAATTTTAATCGATTTCAATCAAATCTGTCTGAACAGAACCCGTTACTCACTTAACCTCCTGTTTGGATTTCATAAATGTTCAGTTTACACAGGCTAATCAGGACTCAAGCAACTTTAGGATGAGGAGAAGAAATGACCTACCTTTCATTGAGTAGAGGGAAATCTGAAATTCATATCACATCAATATGTGACAAACCATTTCAGTTCTTTATATGTTACAAATGATGACATGCATGTTAAAAGTTTCTCCCTATCAATTTTCAGTTTTTAAGATTAAAGCAGAAAACATGAAAATGGCTTAAAAAAAAATCATCCTTTAAAACTTTACATTTCCATGATGATATTTATGTAATTTTACTTTTTATTATGCATTTTTTTACACATACAGAAAACTTTTTTATTGATTCAAACATTCAAAAAAAAGCTTAAACTAGAGGCTCTCAAGAGCCTGTGTCGCTCACCTGATTCTACTTTGGTTTTGGAAATCATGTAAAAATAGATTAAAATCATAACAGATACCCTAATTATGAGTGAGGCCAAATTTGGTTTAATATTGGTCCTGTAATTTTATAAAAAAAAAATCCTGGTGGCCATCTTGAACAGTAAATCGGCAACAAAGTAGCAACACTTAATCAGCACCTCATAAGAAACATTTATGCCATGTTTTGGTTTCATTCCATTCAGTGCACCTCTAGAAGAAGCATTTGTATGTATTTCCCATAGGGTCTTATGTTAAAGGAAGTCCCCCCATTGGCGGCCATCATGGATGAAGGATCAGCTTCAAAGTACTGTAAATTCAGAAATTATTGCGTGCATTTATTACTGCGATTTTGTCATTTTAGACTAAAATGCTATTTAAATTTTTGCGATATTGAGAAAAATCCTGTTTAATTCATATAAAAAATTTCAAAATGCGAGTTTAAATTATTGCGATTATAACCCTGTCGCATTTTTCGCAATAATAAAAACATCGCAATAATTTCTGAATTTACAGTAACAAAACTTAGTCAGCAACTCATGAGGCACATTCATGCCATGTTTGGTTTCAATCCATTCAGTATGTGGTTCTCTAAAAGAAGACATTTGTATGTATTGTCCATAGGGTCCTTTGTTAAACATTGTCCCCATCTGGCAGCCATCATGGATGAAGGATCAGCTTCAAAGTAACAACACTTGGTCAGCACCTCAAAAGGAACATGCATGCCATGTTTGGTTTCATTCCATTCAATGGTTCTCTAAAAGAAAACATTTGTATGTATTTCTCATAGGGTCCTATGTTAAACTATGTCCTCCACTGGAGGCCATCTTAGATTATGGATCGGCTTCATAGTAACAACACTTGGTCAGTACCTCATAAGGAACATTAATGCCATGTTTGGTTTCATTGCATTCAGTGGTTCTCTAAAAGAAGACATTTGTATGTATTTCCCATAGGCTCCTATTTTAAACTAAGTCCCCCACTGGCGGCCATCTTGGATGATGGATCAGCTTCAAAGTAACAACACTTGGTCAGCACCTCATAAGGAACATTCTTGCCATGTTTGGTTTCATTCCATTCAGTGGTTCTCTAAAAGAAGACGTTTGTATGTATTTCCCATAGGGTCCCATGTTAAACTAAGTCCCCCCGCTGGCGGCCATCTTGGATTATGGATCGGCTTCAAAGTAACAACACTTGGTCAGCACCTCATAAGGCACATTCATGCCATGTTTGGTTTCAATCCATTCAGTATGTGGTTCTCTAAAAGAAGACATTTGTATGTATTGTCCATAGGGTCCTTTGTTAAACATTGTCCCCATCTGGCAGCCATCATGGATGAAGGATCAGCTTCAAAGTAACAACACTTGGTCAGCACCTCAAAAGGAACATGCATGCCATGTTTGGTTTCATTCCATTCAATGGTTCTCTAAAAGAAAACATTTGTATGTATTTCTCATAGGGTCCTATGTTAAACTATGTCCTCCACTGGAGGCCATCTTAGATTATGGATTGGCTTCATAGTAACAACACTTGGTCAGTACCTCATAAGGAACATTAATGCCATGTTTGGTTTCATTGCATTCAGTGGTTCTCTAAAAGAAGACATTTGTATGTATTTCCCATAGGCTCCTATTTTAAACTAAGTCCCCCACTGGCAGCCATCTTGGATGATGGATCAGCTTCAAAGTAACAACACTTGGTCAGCACCTCATAAGGAACATTCTTGCCATGTTTGGTTTCATTCCATTCAGTGGTTCTCTAAAAGAAGACGTTTGTATGTATTTCCCATAGGGTCCCATGTTAAACTAAGTCCCCCGCTGGCGGCCATCTTGGATTATGGATCGGCTTCAAAGTAACAACACTTGGTCAGCACCTCATAAGGAACATTCATGCCATGTTTGGTTTCATTCCATTCAGTGGTTCTCTAAAAGAAGACATTTGTATGTATTTCCCATAGGGTGCTATGTTAAACTAAGTCCCCCGTGGCGGCCATCTTGGATTATAGATCAGCTTCAAAGTAACAACACTCGGTCAGCACCTCATAAGAAACATTCATGCCATGTTTGGTTTCATTCCATTCAGTGGTTCTCTAAAAGCAGACATTTGTATGTATTTCCCATAGGGTCCTATGTTAAACTAAGTCCCCCGCTGGCGGCCATCTTGGATGATGGATCCGCTACAAAGTAACAACACTTGGTCAGCACCTCATAAGGAACATTCATGCCATGTTTGGTTTCATTCCATTCAGTGGTTCTCTAAAAGAAGACATTTGTATGTATTTCCCATAGGGACCTATGTTAAACTAAGTCCCCCGTGGCGGCCATCTTGGATTATAGATCAGCTTCAAAGTAACAACACTCGGTCAGCACCTCATAAGAAACATTCATGCCATGTTTGGTTTCATTCCATTCAGTGGTTCTCTAAAAGCAGACATTTGTATGTATTTCCCATAGGGTCCTATGTTAAACTAAGTCCCCCGCTGGCGGCCATCTTGGATGATGGATCCGCTACAAAGTAACAACACTTGGTCAGCACCTCATAAGGAACATTCATGCCATGTTTGGTTTCATTCCATTCAGTGGTTCTCTAGAAGAAGTTCAAAATGTAAAAAGTTAACGACGACGCCGGACGCCGGACGCCAAGTGATGAGAAAAGCTCACTTGGCCCTTCGGGCCAGGTGAGCTACAAAAAGGTTCATGTCACCATTTTGTTTTTTTCGTAAAATGTATTGTATACAGTATTCTCGTTTGAATTGTTTCACATTTTTCTTGTCCAGTCCTTTTATAGGAATTATAGCTGAATATACAGTATGGGTTTTTCTCATTGTTGAAGGCTGTATGGTGACCTATAATTGTTTTTATCTTCATCATTTGAACTCTGGGGGATAGTGGTCTTAGTGGGAATCATACCACATCTCCTTATTATTATATAAATAAGGGGAGATAACTCAGATAATTTAATTTCATAAAGAAATATACAGTATTTTTTTCTATTTTGTATTATAGCAAGTAAAAAAGAAATGGTGACCCACTTTTTTCTTTTAATTTTCTGAAAGCATTTTAAGAGGGCTTCCTTTTCATATTGGATTTCAAATTTCTGTCATTTAGTTTTCTTTCTTTTCACATGATAATGCTGTTTAATCCTTACAAAAATTATAAATATGTCTGTTTTTTACAACCTTTACATCAAAAACATGCTCAGTGACCTATACTTTCTATAACATTTTTGAAAACATCATTATATAAACTACATTTTTTCAAAAGTATGAAAAAGTTCAAGCATTTTTTGTTGCCCTGCACTACCTTTTATTAATCAAAACAAACTATGATAAATTAATACAAATAATACGTCTCTCGTTTTTTATATAGATTAGACCGTTGGTTTTCCTGTTTGAATTGTTTTACACTAGTCATTTTGGGGCCCTTTATAGCTTGCTGTTCGGTGTGAGTCAAGGCTCCGTGTTGAAGTGCTTTGACCTATAATTGTTTACTTTTAATACATTGTGACTTGGATGGAGAGTTGTCTCATTGGCACTCATACCACATCTTCTTATTTAAATTAACAACAATATGTTATCTTCTCTTTACTTAATATTTCAATGGTTGTCCCTTACTTGAAACAGAATTTGTTACAAATTTTCACAATACATGTAATTTCAAACAGCTTGATTTAAGTAACTAAACCTTAGACATGCATAATTGTCTGAGAAATTTTGTGTCGTTTTTAACAAAAAGCTCTTTACAGAATCTTAACTGAATGAGCAAACAAACAAAAAATATTGATTAAGTTGCAGTCTTTCTACATTAACACTATAAAACTTACTGAAAAAGGGAAAACAAATAACTTTAGATATGATCAGAACTTTAATCAATATGACTTTTCAATGAAAAAGCATAGAAATAGAGTTGTCCTTTACCTGTAAATCTGTATTAAGGACCATAATCTTTTCTGTAGAGACAAACAGGTCAACAGCAGTACTAGGTTGATTCTCACCTTCTGGGGCCTGTAAAAAAGATAACAAAAATCCCAGCTTAGAAATTTTCATAAATAAGTCCAGATTTAAGATGAATGACAATTGCAGAATTTTTTAAGGAAGCTCTGATATTTTTCATGAGAAATGTGTGATTAAATTTTCATGGGACTGGCAGGCAGAATTACACACAAACAGATGGACTGAGGTAAACTGGTATATAAATACCTCTCAATAAGAGCAGGGTATAATTAAGTTTTACCAAATAAACATCATCGATAGCATTCTATTTATGTTGTGACCACATGGTAACATTCGAATTCCTCAATATGTCAAATAAGATTGAGAATGGAAGTGGGAAATGAGTCAAAGAGACAACAACCCAACCAAAGAGCAGAAAACAGCCCAAGGCCACCAATGGGTCTTCAACACAGCAAGACAATCCCTCACCCGGAGGCAGGCTTCAGCTGGCCCCTAAACAAAAATGTGTACTAGTTCTGTGAAAATGGACGTCACACTAAAATCCAAAACATATAAATGAACTAAAATTTAAAAAAAAACATACAAGACTAACAAAGGCCAGAGGGTCCCGACTTGGGACAGGCGCAAAAAAGCGGCGGGGTTAAACATGTTTTGCGAGATCTCAACCCTCCCCTATACCTCTAGCCAATGTAGAATAAACAAACACACAGCAATACGCACAGTAAAACTCAGTTTAAAACAAGTCCAAGTCCATGTCAGAACAGGTAACAGAAGAAACTAAGCAAAATGACAATGATACATAAATTAACAAAGGACTACTACCAGTTACTGACATGCCAGCTCCAGACCTCAATTAAACTGATTGAAAGATTATGTCTTCAAAGTACATTTTTGTTTTATCTTGCTGGTATGGATCCAAAAAATGTCAATTACTTTACAAGAACCTTCAGCAATCAAGCTCATATATACCATGCCCCCAATCTGATGGCATAGTTTGTTTTTTTTTTTACTTCAAAGTAAGATTTTTTTCTATTATGATTTTTCTTCTTATTTTATGTGGCCATATATATCCAGGAACTGTTCCAATCATGAAACCACTTTTCTGCACAAATTTCCTTCTATTTCTAGTAACTTTGAACTTGATCTTATACACAGTGACGTTAAAAATGAATAGGGTCTTCCTCTCAATATATGTGACCACATATCTAAGAAAGGTTGCAATAACATTTGAAGTATTTGATTTAGCATCTGGAAACCAGTTTTCATCACAAATTGCAGTCAAGTAACAATGATCTTAACCCTGAACATAGTGAACAGAAATTTGAAAAGGTTTGTCCTCTCATTATATGTGACCATATATCCAAGGAAGGTTGAAATCCTACATGTAACATTTGATTTAGAATCTGGCAAAAACTTGCCTGTACAAATATCAGTCATATATCTTGAAAAGTCCATATCATAATGGACATGTGTACTAAATTTTAAGTTGATGTGACCACATGTACATTAAACTGAAATTTTAACCTGATACTGAATGGACCAACAAACTAATAGACAGACTAAAGGATGGACAGACAGGATATACAGAGTGGAACACATATTACTGCAGATGAGGCATAAAAATATCCATAACAGGTTTGAGTCTAAAATTCAAAAATTTCAGCATCTTTATCATTTGCAAGATCAAAAGAAATATATTCAAGTAAACCTATCGATATAGCTACGTAACATAACATTTTCGCTTACACAGATGATGGCACTGAAGTGACAAACTGGAGTTGATCCTATTCAAAACCTTAATCCAAGCTTTAGAAGAATTTCATTTCATACTTATAGTAAAAAAACATGATACTTTTTTAAAAGTTTATCACACATTATGTTTTGCATTTTCACAAATAATAATATACACATTTTGGTTAATAAATTATTATGCCATATGCTAAAAAATTTAAGAGTAGAAGTTTGGCACTGACATAAATGTTCACAAGGATTTAAAACATGATAAAACAATCATTCTGAGAGTATTGCATGGCAATACATAGTCCCCTATCGGGTAAAAATTCATTATACTGGAACAAAATGCTAACTTGTTCTATAACTTGTCATGGTGTAAACAAAAAGTAAATATCATGTCAATATCTTCAAGCATGACTAAAAACAGTGTGGAAAACTGATTATATGAGTGAATTTTTCAAGTCCAAGGACCATAACTCTGCACAAAATTATTAGACCGAAACAAAAATTTGAACTTGATCTGTAACTTGTCATGATAAAACTATATACCAATTATCAATCAATATCTTATAAGCATGATGAAAAAAACATTAGAAATGATTAATAGTTCTCTAAAATTAGATATGATGTAATACAGTGTATATCTATTTTCAAATTATAATCAGATATAATTAATAGTTCCAAATAATTTTTCTTTCATTTGTCACAAACTAATATAGATTTGTAACTTATCTATATAATGTCAACAACTGTTATCTACACAATGTAATGCATTGAAATATATACATTAATAAAAATAGATTATTATCTAATTAAAGGATTTCTCTTCATAATTTTTTTTTTATATATATAGCATTCAGAAAATTAGTTTATGCTAAATAACAAACAAACCTGTCAAAAAATTCTTCAAATAATTTAACAAAGAATGTCTTTTAAAAAATGAGTGTTCTCCCTTTGTACAGAAATATGGTTTAACATAGTACTCCAACATTAGATATGGTCCAGAGTTATGGTCCATAACTCTGGACTAAATCATCAGACCGGAACAAAATTCGAACTTGATCTATAACTTGTCATGATAAAACTATATACCAAATATCAAATCAATATCTTCAAGAACGAAGAAAAAAAGTGGAAAGCTGATTTGCCGGACTGACGGATGGACAGACGGACGGACTCCGACGGAGTGCAAACCTAAAGTCCCCTTTGACTTCGTCGGTAGGGGACTAATAACAGTGTTTCTAAAGTCCCGCTCCGATGCACATATCTAATCTGTCCACGGGCAATAATTCCAACAAAAATGCACACATTGTAGTGCTAGGCATACCACATACAAAATTCTAAGTTTCAGAAAATAGGAAGTTTGTGTCTGACAGATCCAAAAAGCACTCAAATCTTACAACTCATCACTGCCAAGCTGTTGACCAAATATTAAGTTATTCTGTTCAATAGTACTGGAGAAATGTGTGACCAAAATATTTAAGTTAAGGTGGTACCTAACACTACAGGGAGATAACTCTGTAAAAATCAGCTAAACGTTTTAAATACGTTGTATTGTTAAGGAAATATTAAGCTTCTCAATGATCAAAATCAGTGTTTGTCAAACTGCTATATAACCAATGAAATTTTTCTGATAAAATGGTTGGTTCAAATTTTTTGAAATTTTTATATTTTTGTCAAAGGGTCAGAGTAAACGTTTTGTCAAAATTTTATGAAAATTAAATGAGCCAAATTAATATTAGTCAAGGTGTTGATAACCACCTTAATTCAACAAATTAAAAAAAAATCAAAGTATCGGCAAATAGGAAGTAGGTGTCCAACAGAACCAAAACATGCTCACACAATACAACTCATCACTGTCAAGCTGCTGACAAAATAGGAAGTAGGTGTCCAACAGAACCAAAACATGCTCACACAATACAACTCATCACTGTCAAGCTGCTGACAAAATATGAAGTAGTACCTGAGAAAATGTGACAGAAATATTTGTTGAGGAATTGTTCGACACATTTTTATGAATTATATATATTGAGCAATGCTAGACAATGTATACACTTTACACAGAAAACCAAGAAAATAGTTCCTGACATATACTTTGATGATATAATCAATATTTTAAACAGTATCTTTTATTTTTCACATTAGTTAAAGAACATTTCAGTACATATTCATACTTGTTATTCATTTTAAAATATAGTGCAAGTCATAAAGGTTCATAGGACTGCCATTAAATACAAATAAACTACCACATGAGAATTAATGTTGCCAAACTTCTGTCATGGAAAACCAAAAATACAAGACAAAAAAGAAATTATCTTCCCAAAAAATTATGACATGATTTGAGATGACCTGTTTTAATGTACACATATTCAGCTATACCTAATGTAATAAAATACTGAAAATCCATAAAAATGCAGTTTTTCACTGTGGTCCTAAACAACACCATAAGAAACAGATATATAAGGACAACATTATTATATAATATATATGTGTACTTCAAAAGCAAAATTATTAAATAAAAAAACCAAAAATACATAAGCAAAACATCAATGAGATAAATTTCATAAAAAAACATTTGCAGTAAGTTTGTTTTTTCCTTACTGGAGTATATTTTGAAAAGAAAGTATACTAACTAAAAAGTATTTACTCATCACAAGAGGACATTGAAGACTCTATAGAAATACCTGAACAGTTTTCTGTTCAAAGAGAGTTTAAGAGTACTACAAGGAACTCCTTGATAAGAGTACTACAAGGAACTCATTGATAAGAGTACTACAAGGAACTCCTTGATAAGAGTACTACAAGGAACTCCTTGATAAGAGTACTACAAGGAACTCCTTGATAAGAGTACTACAAGGAACTCCTTGATAAAAGTACTACAAGGAACTCCTTGATAAGAGTACTACAAGGAACTCCTTGATAAGAGTACTACAAGGAACTCCTTGATAAGAGTACTACAAGGAACTCCTTGATAAGAGTACTACAAGGAACTCATTGACGTGTTTATCCAAGGAACTCATTGACGTGTTTATAAAGAAAACTACAAACTATAATGTTCCTAGAAAAAATACTAGAGAAAATGCTGTACAAACTTGTGAGAGAAAAATCTAACTACAGTCTAGAAATACGAATTTGACAACTTAATGTACAGGTATACAAAATCATGAAATATTTTGTTTTTAAAAATTGAGTATTGAACTTGCAAGTTTAACATGTGGTAAATGCTATCCACAAAGAGGATGAAAAGGTTTTTTTTTAATTTATTTTCCTCTAGTGGTTTAATTTTTCATAGTAAACACAGATTGCCATAATGAAGGAAAGTGTGTCTCTCAATTTTGCAGATAATTTTTTTCTAGCAAACTACTAGACAAATTACTTGACTCGAACTGTGAAATCTTGTGATGTCATATTGTGATACTGAATATCATTTGATTTCTATAGAGTGTAATTTGCATAATTAGTGTGTAAGGCTTCTCCAGTTCCCTTACTGTAGATTCTGTAAAAAATATCCCCAAAAATACTAATAGTAATAAATAGAACAACATGTATGATGAAAAACAAAACTGTGATGATATAATTAACAACATGTATGATGAAATCATAAAGTACCTGAAATTTTGACCCAAAATGCAGAGTGCCAAGCATCTGTAATTAAAACAGCACAGAACTAAATGTAGCCTAACACATAATGGTTCACTTAATGTGTCAATTTTTACCATGCATTAAACTAATTCATTACATTTATATAAAATACATCAAAACAAAAAATTATATTCAGAAACTAGAAATTCTTTAATGGCAATACTTACCTCAATTTATGAATATATAAATAAGTATTAAGACTGACTGATATTCATTAAATTTCAAATGCCTTGAAATTTGTAGTTTCCAAACATAATTTTTCGTATGCATGGTAACCATTAACAGGAAAACTTACATTGACAACTTCTGGTGCATTTAACTAATTATAAAACATAAGTGCCTCTTTATAATCTAATTTAATGGTAACCTATCAACAATACATGATATCAATACTTCTTAAAATGAAATCAAAAAGACCTGAACAATTTAATATTAATTATCTTCTCTGTTATTGGACTTAATATGGTACAAACTTCCTGTGCAATACAAAAGTGTCAACTCAACCAATACAGAATAACTCGGACAATATGGATTTTTTTCATATTGGCCGAGTTCTGATCCAGCCAAAACAGGATTTCGCAATGTCTCTGGTTTTTAGATTGAAAGTCACGTGTAATGTAAAATGTTGTTTATTTACACACGACATAGACAGTGATAAACATGTGTACATGTTCAGTGTTGCAATATTTCAGGCTGAAGACGGTCACATTCATTTAAACAGGCCTTTTGTCAGTAGACTATTTAGTTTTTTCAGGTTTGGGCAACCAGTCTGTAGATTATCGCTAAGGTCATTTTATGTCGACCTTATAACTATTTTAAACATTTTTACAGTTTTATAGGTGCAACTCGGTTTACTGTTTACTTTCACTCCTTATGGCTTTGTAAGGTGTCATTTATTTTTCAACCTGTACCAGGCATATCTTTGATGATTTAAAGTTCGTTACCTTAACCGGAAATGAAAAAAAAAACCCAATCACAACCAGGAAATAAAAATTATTCACTTTGCATGTAAATATTCTTCACTAGTCTGAATATGAATTGTTGAAGACAACATGAGGACCTGTAATTGTTCAAGTCTTTGTTCTTTGGTCAGTTGGTCTACGGATAGTCATCTTGTTGGTAATCATGTACAACGCCCAATTATTATTTTTGTTTTTTTGTTTCTGAATCTCTCATGCAATGGCAGTACCTTTCCAATTACTATTTTATGTGTTGTATCTAAATATGAATTGTAACACTTTATAGTGACTGAAAAGGTTGAACAAATCCTCAGTTTCCAGAACAGAGAAAATGTAGAAGACACCTAGAAACAGCATCAGATCATTTGACATTGCAGCTTATTAAAGAAAACTCAGATTGGGATAGTTCCTGTTCAAAATCTTGTGAAAAGATATAAAACACAAAAAAAAACCTGATAAACACAGCATCCTTTACCCCATATCCCTTTTTTTCTATTACAGTTGTTAATTAATTAAAGAACCTTTGTGAGCACGCTCACATACCCCACCCCCTACATTGTCACCTGACAAACAAAATCTCATCAGATTCCTAAGTTCAAAGACTCATAACTCTACAAAAGTCAACTGATAAAAATTTTCTTGTGGATATGCACATTTACATATTACGGTATGTCCTCATTAACTACAAAGTTTCATGAAATTCTGTTGTGTGGTTTCAGAGGAGTTGCGATGACAAACTGTTGCAGTAGTATAGTTCAAAGGAGCTTAACTCCTTGAAAAAAAATTGAATCATAATTTCCTGTCGATATGCACATCTACATAGTATGTCCTTATTATCTACAAAGTTTCATGAAATTCTATTTTGTGGTTTCAGAGGAGTTGCGATGACAAACTGTTGCAGTAGTATATTGAGGCCAATAAGTTCAAAGGGGCATAACTTTGCGCCTCAGGCCAATACAGCAAGCCTCGAACCAATAACAAGGCCAATACAGAAATACTCACGTAATAATATCATAATATTTGACAATATTCTTTCAATGCAAATATTAGTTCTTGTCTAACAAACAGAAAATGATAGATTAAAACAAATGAATTTTTTTATTCAATGTCTCTTAAAATTTGTACAAAGTGTAAAATTAAACTTCCCTTCTAAACATGCTAACAACATTTTTACACAACATTCATGCACTTACCGATGCCTTGGTAAACAAAGGAAAATATTAAATCATATTAATCTCCACATCAATAATGCAGGAGTAGCAATACATCAATCTGTATGACAACATAAAACCTCAGAAAATATCAAATTTTCACTCATATCAGTTTTAATGTTAAGTTTTAATACTTGTCAAAATCGGTATATGAAGAGTATATAACAGGTGAATTTTTAACTTCATGGTGGTCAATGACTACACACCTACTCATTTGGTTTGAGGGAGTGGTAGAGGTTTAAGAGAGACTTTTATGGAAGCATATCCTTTCTTCAATCTTACATTGATCCATTCATTTCTCTGTCAAGACATTTCAGATTCGTTCATGTCAAAATCGACAATTCAAATCAAAATTTATTTTCATTACTAACTGCCATACCTAAGCACAGAACTCTCTGAAATTTGGTTCATTTAATCTTATTCATGTAAGGCAGTCTTAGTTAGTTTTCTCTTTTGTTTTGTTTTACATTTGTCATTTCAGGGCCTTTTATAGCTAACTATGTGGTATGGGTTCTACTCATTGTTGAAGGGCATACAGTGATTTATAGTTGTTAATTTCTGTGTCATTTGGTCTCTTGTGGAGAGTTGTCTCATTGGCAATCTTACCACATCTTATTATTATTATATTATGAAAAAAACAAAAGTTAAAATGGTTAAGAGAAAATTTTTACTAAAATTATCATGTAAACAATTTGATTTGAATTCATCTTAGAAGTCATAGGTGCCAAATCACATGCTATTCTTGTAATATACACATTTTCTACTAAATACATGCACTATTTTCAACACAAGGAGTGTTCACACATTCCATGTCTTTACACACAGTCACACACATTTTCAGAATATGTCCAGTGTTTGGAAGAGGTAGCTTCATCTAAAGAGGAAATGGTTAATACCTATTAAAATGTTTGGGAATTTAAGTTGAACTTGAATTAAAGAAAGTGACCGTTGCACTGAATAAATTTTCCGTTTTTCACCCTTGTTACTTGTTTATATTTATATGTTTACATTTACTTTGATCTGTTGTCAAGAGTGATAAAATTAAATATTCAAAAAACTCAAAATTACTTGAAACTTGTTATTTACAAGCAGTCAAACTCATTTCACCATTCCTGTCTGATTGGAAAGTTGACAATCATGGGAATTTGTATATTTATACAAAAACAAATGTACAACTTAAATGTAACCAATCTTTAAACAATAGCTAGAATACTAATCCTGGATATAGTTTAAAAGGAACCATTTTATAATACTCTAACTGTAACTACAATTTTTGTTAGATATTTAGTTACATTTCAAAACACAAGTTTTTAAAATGATTATCTTGACTACTGCTGAAAAAGTTAATGTTTCTAATTTGCAAATAATGAAGACTATATCTAAGAATTGTTAGTGACAGTGATTTCATCATACATGCTTCTTTAAATGATGTTTAACACAAAGATTACATGATGAAAAGATGATGACAGTCATTAAAATCTGATTGACCACTATTCAGTGTACTCGGTAATGTTTTAAATGAGCTTTTAAGCAATATCAGAAGACAAAGTCTATTAAATATCTGATCCTCTGAAATCTAAGGATCACTTATCATAAATACTCTGATGAGCTAATGAGCCAAGTTTATGTAAAGTCGATTATATTGATACCTTTATTCTTCCTACAGCTTCTTGAGCCTGCATCATCCTCATGGCTTTTGATGGCTGTCCCTCAGAGATCAGCTGTGTAGATCCTAAGTAACGAGCTCTAAACAGTACTCCCTCTATCAAAACTGATGGATTTTCAGGATCATAAACAGAAGCTGAAAACATAAAACTCTTTATTATTAAAATATCACCATTTAAAATTTTCAGGTAAAAATTACAATAAAGTATGCTACTTCATAAAGTACTATAAACTTACATACATTATACATGTGTACAACTAAATTTTATTGGCAAATCTATTTCTACATCAACCGTAAAACTAACTTTATATACAAACTTCAAACTAAACCGTGTATGTGATTTAGCAGCTAGAGTCAAATTTTCCCACTGCAGAACTATAATTCAGATGTAAATAGTGACCTTTTATAAGGTTATATTCTGATCCTGCCCAATGTACCCATATTTTCAGGGACAGTCAAATCCTTTTCTATAGCAGTCCACCAATTTTTCAGATCTGACTAACTAGTCAGTTGTTCCTTTGTGTCTTGTCTATAATATGCATGAAACATTTGTCTCTCAAAAAATAACGATCAAGCAATCAATTATAAATATCACTGACAATCATCCAGTACCAGTCTTCAGTTAAGTGAACCACATTGTTTCAGTATGACTTAATAGTATAATAGTTCATTCTATCACCTTAACCTTACAGAAAAAAGCTGAATAATTTAACTATGTTAGAATTTTAAAGTCAATGGAAGATGTGGGGGTAAATTTCAATAAAAGATTTTGAAGGTAAGTGTCAAAGGAATATATGGGGTCAATATCAATGGAAAATGTGGGGTTAATGTCATTGGAAGATATGGGGTAAAAGTCAATGGTAGATGCAAGATAAATGTCAATGTAAGATGTGGGGAAAATGGCAATGAAAAATGTGGGTTACATATTAATGGAAAATATGGGTAAAAGTCAAAGGAAAATGTGATGTATATGTAAATTGAAGATGTGGGTAAATCTCAATGGAAGATGTGGGTTAAATATCAATGGGAGATGTGGGGGTAAATGTCAAAGGAAGATGTTGGGTAAATGTCAATGTAAGATGTTGGGGTAAATTTCAAAGGAAATTGTTGGGATAAATGTCAATTGGGAATGAGGGGTTAATGTCAAAGAAGATGTGGGGAAAATGTCAAAGGAAGATATTGGGTAAATGTCAAAAGAAGAGATGGGGTTAAAATATCAAAGGAGAATGTGGGGTAAATGTTAATGGAAAATATAGATAAATGGCAATGGAAGATATCAGGTAAATGTCACTGGTAGATGGCAGGGTAAATATTAATGGAAGATAGAGTGTAAAAATTAATGGAAAATGTAGGGTAAATGTTAATGGAACATATGGGGTAAATGTTAATGGAAAATATGGGTAAATGTTAATGGAAAATGTGGGGTAACTGTCAATGGAAGATGTGGGGTAAATGTGAATGGATGATGTAAGGTAAATATCAATGGAAGATGTGAGGGTAAAAGTCAATGGTTAGTGGGGGTAGATGTTTCAAGAGGGTGTTGGGTAAATGTTAATGAAAAATTTGAGGGGAAATGTCAATGGAAGATATGGGGTTAATGTCTAGAGGATGTTGGGTAAATGTCAATGGAAGATACAGGGTAACTGTCAATGAGAAAGCAACATAAGAACTGAACTTCAATCAAGTTAAACTAAAATGGATATTAATAGATCTACATTCGGCCTTCAACAACAGACAACCCCCCATACTAGAGTACCAACTCTAATATATTGTATATAAGTTCAATCTGTATAAAAACTGAAAAATTAAACAAGTCCAAACATTTTAATAATCATGACTAAAAATGTTAAAAGACCAACATGCATAAAGAAATTTTTAACCAATGATTAATAAACAGCCATGCATTATAAAGATTACTCAATATATTTTTAGAATTTCAAAAAAGTGTGACAATGTAATAATAAAAAGCGAGATTTATCATACAAAAAAGCTAAAATAGATGATTTAAAAAATTAAAACAATCTTTGTTTCACATGCTAACAGCATTATAATACCCATTTTGTTAAAAAAAATTGCACATCATCAAAAATGAAGACATAGACATATTTTGTCAGTAGATAAGCCTCTTTTTTATTTCTATATATTTAATATTTAGAAGTTGCCATTGCCAGGCTAAATATGGACACTTCTTCTAAACCAAGGTACTGTTTTGTAAAATATTTTTTAATTATAAGATCTGTGTATTGTATTTAATAAGAATTCTCGTTTGACCAAGTGTCATGTGTGTTTTAGGAAAGGATATCAAGGTTTTTTTTGTTTCTTGATCCTTACAGCATCCAAACCACATTTGTTATGCTGGATAGTATTGTAAACAATGAATGTCAACATTTTATGATCATGTCTATATTTTGATGCAACAATTGGCACTAACAAAAGTTGAATCATAATGAAAATTATTACAGAGTGAGACTTTACCGAAGTTTTCTGAATAGAGCTAAACTCATGACTTTTGTACTTGCATCTTACTTAACCTTTAAAGAAGTCATGTGGTGGATGATAGCAGAGTTGGTTAAATCTGTCTCAAGGATCACATAAAATAAGTTGTTTTGCAGGCTTATTTATTGTTTCTAAGAGTAATTCTAATTCCAAGTTTTGATGGGCTTAAGTGATAGTTTGTTATGATTGTATTCATTTACAGTAGTAACAATTGAAGGTCATCCATGTCAAATGATTGAGATGTGATAGATATATACCATTATATGATCACTAGTTTTCATGACTGCATGAAAGTAAATTAACTCACTTGAAAACTCAATTCTTATTTGGGTTAAAAATTGTAAGAGTGATAGAAAAAGGTGAAAAGATCAATAACTAATAACTAAAAAATGCATCAAAGAAATTTTGTAGTTTTTTTTCCAAAAGAAGCAAGAAATAAATGAATAAATTCTGTTTCAAATAAGAAGAGATAATGTTTATAAATGATATATAATAAATCAACACAATAAATATCATAACTGAGTAATCAATAAAAGCAATAAAACAGTTTTTTTTTCTCACAACCACAACCAAGCAAAAACCCCATGCATTTATATTTGTTTAATACAACTTACCAAAAAGTGTAAATTATTATGTTAGTAGATGATCAGGATTGCATGGAAATAAATGGTAAAATAATTGATCATTAAAAGGTCACATTGATGGAATCATGTGCAATCATACTGTTAAGTGGATAATTTTCACTAATTACGCAATTCAAATTGAAATTATAGAATTATCTCCTGGAGTCAATTTTATCTCATAGGAAGATCAGATTCAAGGACAAAACAAAATGTAATAAATAAAACATTGCCTACTGGTTTTGCTCTTGAACTTCATGAAATTAACAGGCACAGATTCAGATGAGGGTGAACCCATCAAGCACTTCCCTCTAAAATAAGAAAAAAATATGTAAAAAATTTAAAATTACAGATAATTTTGTGTCTTCATAAGGTCCTCTTATTTCTTAATCTAAGGACCACTCCCCCTTCCCCCCTTACATCAAAACCTGAATCAGTGCCTGATTTTTAGACTGTGAAAATAACCCACTTAACAGTTCTGTACATGGGAATCTTTTACTCTCATGCAAACAAATGGTTTTATTATTTCTTTCTAAATTGTACTGATATAAATTCTCTTGTTAATAAATGATACTCTTCAACAATATACAATTAAAATATTTAAATGTAGTTATGTAGTTAAAACTTTGTGTTCATTATCAAATATAAATGAATTAGAACCTTAAACATTGGTGTATTATCAAAGATTTTTGATCATTGGAGAAAGTGCTTGAATTCAACAGACTAATAGACCCTTTTTTTTATATGAACTGCTATTTTGAATCAAGAAAATTGAACAGTATTTGTGCATCAACTCTCAAACTACAGAAAAAATACCAATAAAATCTGGTTGTTTGACTTTTGCAGATCATTTATTTAAAAATATGTATTTGATGTACTATAATTTTGCTAAATTTTCTCACACTTAAAGCAGAAACAACCAGTATATATCTATACAGCCATTAATTTTTTTTTTACTAAATTTAGATTTTTTGCAAGAAAGCATTGTGCTCAATAACTAAACCAAACATAAGTTTCTAATATAATTATCTACAATTGATAAAATAAAATTTAATTTGCAAGTAAAGCTGTAAACGACAGTTTTATGAAACTCACTCATATGCAGGGCTGCAAGGGCCTTCTACATAACAACTCTTACCATATATTGTTCAGATTAAGTATGTTTTCTCAATGAAGAAATAATAGTATTAATATCGTTAAACATCAATAATAGACTGAACTACTTTATTCAGTAAAGAACGATAGCAGTTGGTTGTACAAGTCTATCAAAACCAGACATATAAAATACCCATGACTTTAAAGATAAGCAAGTTATTATAAAATACAGCTATCAAATGATACAGAAAAAAAAATTGTAATCTTAATATCTATTAGAAAAAAATCTGTAGAAAGTATATAGAAAAGAATTATTTGTTGTTACAAAATTTGTAACTATCATAAGCCTATCTTTAAATTAGAATGTATTTAGCATTTTCAAGTGACCCATTAGTAAATTTTTATTGAAATAGGTATAACTTAAGGAAGAATCACCAGGGCTCTTGACAGACCTCAAGTCCAGTAAATCATGTGCATTGTTACTTTCCAAGTCCTTTGGAAGATTCAAATGACAACCATAGCTGTAATTGGTTGACGAGATCTGCACCAGCTTCCAAGACAACACAGTCATTGGGCACATTTACAAACTTCAGTACAATAGAAATGTTTCAATGAAATCAAATCTTTTTTCATCGAAATCACTATAATAAGGTAAATTTTTATTATTATATATATATAACTTTTACAAAGAAACAAACATTTTTTTTTGTACTTGGACTCATTAACTCAAACCTACAGAATTTATTTTGTGAATAAAGGAAAGTTTTAAGTTATATGGAAGACATTCCAAAACATTACTTGTTTTGATGTTTGTTCTTTGCTAGTTCTAACTTTAAAACTCTGAATTTTAAAATACAAAATCAATACATGATTATCCTAAACCGGTAATATTGTACTACTAATACAAATGATAATTTTAAAAAACATTACCAATACCGCTGCTTTTGATTAAATCACATAGAAAACAGAGCAATCAAAAGTAGGAAATCATACATTTAATGACTATTAATTACATCAAGGTTGGTTAATGTTGCTGAACCTGGTTTAGTTTTTTTCCTTTGTAAAATAAAGCAATCTTTCTTTTAACACTTAATGTTTGCCAATGTTTAGTTCAACTACTGGTTGTTTGAGTACTGTTCAATAATATGTTTACTCTTACACATTATTTCCTGTTAGAGTATATTAAATTATTACATTTTTATCAAAGGAGTAGAGACAGGAACCCCAATAAAAGGCCCTGTAAAGGTGTTTTTTTTAAACTCTAATTATTAAAGTAAATCTAATGTGTATGAATTGCTAAATGTATTATATTTGAAAGTATAATAAGAAAAAGTTGTAAATCTGCTTCTATCTATATAATTATTAGTCTAAAATAGGAAAAGACTTCATTTTCGTCCATTTTTAAAGATATTTTCAACTTTTTCCACCCTAATTCATGATTTTTTTAGGTGGCGCCACCCCTCGCCCAATGAAATTTTTGTTGAAAATGTAAAGAATATGGTATATAAAGAATATTTCAGCAAAAATATTTGTTGGCGAAGGGTGGCGCCACTGTTAATTTTTCAGAAAACTGTCATAAATTTTGCAGAATTCTGAATAAAATCAAGATTTTACAAAATTCACATACATTATGACGTCACAAATACGTCACTAATGACGCATTTGGTAAATAAATATTTAGCTGCGAAACTATTGGACATTATGGCATGTGTTTTCTTCAAATTTTCACAACATTTTCGTAGTGAAAAATTTTCACATTTTTAGGGCAAAAATTACGAGTTAGTGAACCAACTACTTTTATTTTCTTATCTGAAACATTTTTTAAACATTATTTTCATGTGCTTTTCTGAGTGTTGTTAGTAAATAACAATATACAGTCAATAATAAGTCTTAAAAACGTGTAATGATAATGTAACAAATAAAATAAAAATATGCTCATGCTTATATCATATAAGCAAAATACCAAATGTGAACAAAATCCATCAAAAGATAAGAGAAAAGTTGCTTGCTCATATGGATGCCATTGGATGGTGGAACCCATGATTGAAGGGAAATCCAAGGATACATGGACAGTTAACACATGGTGATCTCTCACTAATTTTTTCCTAATGGGAAAAATTTATGTCCTCACATAATGTTTTTCTAGTGGAGAATTTGTCCCTTGCAAATTTTTTCTGGGGGAAATTTGTGTTTCCCCCACTTAATTTTTTTATCTTCTGGGTAGGGTATATTTGATGTGTATCCCTCATTACATCTTCTCTTATTGGGAAGGATTTCTGTAATGATGTACAGTGTATGAACATAAGTATTCGTCACTTGTGATTTTCATATAAAATAATGTTTTTTCGAAAAACTATTGTGGGGTTATTTCTGGTCAGATTTCAATGAACTTAGTATCAACAAAAGCAGAATCATCATAGGTTTTGGTGTTTATTTGCTAATAATTTTGTTATGTACTGTTATCTTTTTTTGATGATATAACCTTAAGTTTAAGTTTTTGTGCAGCAATTTGCTACACATTTTAACCAAAACTAAATTGTAAAAAATATTATGCATGTTCATGAGAAAACAGACAATTAAAGACTATATTATGACCAAATAAACAAAGAAACTTCAGACACCACTCCATCTTTCAACACCTGAATCTAAACAGTAATGCCTTCAAAACAATTTAAAAAAAAAAATTCTAGGTGACAAATCCTTTTGTTGATGCACTGTACATACTAATTTAAGTGTAGAGCAAGAAAAGAATAATCCTTGTCTAGATCTGTTAACTCACCAAAAACAACAGCTGAAGCATGAAGCTAAAGTGGTAATACAGATTAGACAAAAATTTGATATCTTACATGACTGCCTCTCACCTTCTTTAGCACGAGATCTACGTTTCTCAGCCTATAACAGATAATAATATGAATATTTAGCACAAGATCTACATTTCTCAGTATACAAAACATAAAATAATAGTAATCTTTAGCAACAGATCTTTGTTTCTCAGCCTGCAAAAATTATTTAGAAGGAATGTCTTAAAAGTCATCAGGAACTTCCTTTCCTCTGACTACAAATGCTGGTGCAGAATAGTGAAAGCCAATAAACATAAAGCACTAGATTCTTTTGTAAAAGAATGCATTAATCATGTTGTTTAACTGCAAGCATTCTTTAATACATGTATAGTATATTTTGTGTATTATTCTGTGTTTTGTCATCCCTTATACCTTTATCTTGGAGTTGAGTGCTGTACTGGTTTTTATTTCATGATATTTTATGTACATTTTGTTAATCCTCTTAAACAGGGGCAGGATTGAAATATTTAAAAAAAAAAACTACTTAAACCACATCATATATTTATGTGCCTGTTCCAGGTCAGAAACCTCTTCAGTAGTGTGTCTTAGGTCAAATCTTAATAGTTTTTTGTCATTTGGAGAATTTGGCATTGATGGCAGATTTTGATCATTTTTTGTTTAATTTATTCACTCTGGACAATTTAGAGATTGACATATTTTATAGACACTTATCTTTTGTTGAAGACTGAATGTTGCCTCTAAATGACTTTTGGTTATTTTTGTGGTTGGGTTTCTGGCTCATTGATGTTTAGCCACATCCCCTTTTTCATACAATTAACCAAATTCTGGAGGATGCTAACAATATCTGTGATCAGCTTTATTACTTTTACAGAAATAGTATACACTTTTTTACTGGCTATGAGGACAATAGCAAATGTGTTGTCCCCACATGACACCAAACTATTTCTCAATGCGAAGGACAAAAATGTGTTGTCCCCACGAGTAACCAACTATTTCCAAATGCAAAGGACAAGGCTGAGAATTACTTTAGAAAAAAAATAACTATCAAGGTATTGTTACATATATAACTATAAAATAACTTATCATCTAGTGACTTTTATTGTTTGATTAGATTCTGAATATGTGTTTTCGTTGTGTGTGTGTGCGCACTTATATTTACATCTAGTGATTTTTATTGGATTCAGAATGTGTGTTTTCGTTGTGTGTGTGTGTGTTTACATGAGCACTTATATTTACATCTAGTGACTTTTATTGTTTGATTAGATACGGAATGTGTGTTTTCGTTGTGTGTGTGTGTGTTTACCTGAGCACTTCTATTCACATCTAGTGACTTTTATTGTTTGATTAGATTCTGAATGTGTGTTTTCGTTGTGTGTGTGTGTGTGTTTACCTGAGCACTTCTATTTACCGGGGGTTGTGACAGTTCTGGAATGTCAACATTTTGATCTTTCTGATACTGTTTCTGTAAAAGATGATCGGTTTCTTCGTCTGTATCATAATCTAGAATATAAACATATACATGGCATAAGTATTGATAAAATCTCCACCCAAACTTTAAGCAACTTTTAATTTTTTTTATATAGTGATTGATTTATCTCATTGGCAATATACAATTTTTGGTTTTTATACAATATTTTGCATCATGTGTTTCTGCATTATTGTACATACATTTCCTTATACGATTTCTTTTCATGTTCATTACCAGTAGATTGTTTGTTTTTGATGCAATTGACCTCTTTTTTCTCTATTCCTCAAGAATATACATATACAGAAACAATACAAGAATAGAAAAGAAAACAATTTAAGTACAACAACTACCATTGTAAATTTTTGATTTAAGTAAGCAGAGATGAATTGTGTGACATACAGGCTTTCCAATGTTTCCATACACTCCGCATCCTCAAATATAGGTAATTTTTTATAAGTGAATGATACTTTTTTCTTTACTCTGACAACAAGAGTGAACAAAGAGACTACAGTAAAATCTTTTCAAACTTTGCTACCATGCAAGCAAATGCAACTAATGCAGGACATCAAATTTGAAATCGGATTCATGCAAAGATACTTGTCACAATCTATCAAAGAATAAATTCATTTCTATCTACCTAGAAAGCACTATGTTAAATACCAAAGTCATTCAAATAAAAAAATATTAATGTTCAAACAAATGCGTGCAAATGCTTATGCAAATAGAGACTGTTTAACTGGTATCTCCAGAACTGAGCTGTGAAATTCTGAAACATCAAGTTTTCTTTTGTATACTGGGTAGCAGATTTTCACTCCTGAAAACAATTACGGGTACACACAACTGCTAGCATCAAAACATATTTGCTTTTAGCCTTTGTCCATTATTTCCCTGAAGTGATTAAAAGCGGTTCATGGAATAAAGCTTGTAAAATGTAAGCAAGATTTATTGAAAATACAAACAACTTCATGCATTGTATACCTCCAGGCTGACGTTCCTTAACGTAACTTGTTTTGGATGGACTTTCTTTATCACTACCATATTCAGAATCAGTCTCAGACCCTTCATGAGTCTTTTTAATATAATATTCAACAGATTCTGATTTTTGGTGATTATTCACGTGATGACCATTTGCACCGTTAACTCTGTGACTATGCTGATCAAATGAATCGTCTTTTGGGAGCGAGACATACTTTTTGCCACGGATTCGACGTGTGCTTTTTGTATTATTATCTTCTTCATCATCTGAGTCATAGCCTAAAACAAAAGAAGCATGCAAGGTTTAACAGATCATGCTAAAGAACAGAAGTTTGGCTATTTAATCTATATATGACAACAGTTTCAAAGTTAATGGGGTTTTATAAAGCAGAAATAAGTTTTTAATAAGATATATATTTTTCCTTTTTTTGGTTGTTAACATTAAACATGATTCCTGTCATAAAAAGAGGTGTCCCCTTCTTAACATCCTTAGCTTATTTATATAATCCCAATTTTCCTCCTTAACTATTTCTGAAATGTTATTGAGAAAATTGGGGGAATCAGGCCCGAAGCTCAATCAATTTTTTTTTTGCATAGTTCCATATTCAGACAAAAACATTAATTGTTGGTATAAATTTAAAATTCAAATAACCTGTTTTCAATATTATTTGTTCTATAAAACCCTTCTTTAAATGAATGTTCCCAAAATATATAAAAAGTCCTATCTTCAATGACTCACATTTTGCAAAATTTTGGTAACTATCAATAAGCTTACAGGAAAGGATTAAACTTAAAATACTTTTGATGTGAACTTTTAAAAATGTATACCAAACTAAGGTTTGGAGCCAGATTACATGATTCACTAAACATGGAAATGTGATTGTGCAAGTGGAGCATGGTGTCCTATGTACATATATTCTTGTAAATATCATTTTCTTTCAGCCAAATAAAACACTGTACCACACAGTAAAATGCATTTCCTATACCAATCTCCATTTTTTGCCTTGAATGCTCAATTCAACAAGTTTAAATGAACATGCATTTAATAAAACAGTTTCAATGCAATTCCCTTATTTTTGTAGATCTTACTTTAAATAAAAATTATCTAAATGAACACACAGATAAATGTATCATAAATTTATAACATCAGTAAATTTTGATTCTCACACATATTATAAAAACTGACTGGCTAAGAATATTGCTTCTCTAATTTGCATGCTATTTTTAGAGGTCTCGATCGGTGTGAGAAAAATACTTCTCATCTCTAGAGAAAACGTTGTTCTCGACAAATGATTGGTCGAAATTTCAATTATGTCAAATTTTCTTGATTTGTTCTGAATTTCTTATTGTGACATCATGAAATAAAATGCTTCGCTGAGGCGCAGCTTGATACGACCGCAGAGGTCGAACCCTGAACAGTTGGGGCAAGTATGGACACAACATTCAAGCTTGATACAGCTCTGAATTTGGATTGTGATTAAATATTTGACACAGCATAGGTTTCTGACACAGAAAGAATGTGGTCTAAGAACTTTTTAATTTACCTATTATGGTCCAATGTCCAAAATCAAAATACATATCAAAGAACCCCATATATTCAATTTTTGTTGAAATCAAACAAAGTTTTATTTTGGACCCCAACTTGGACAAACTTGAAAACTGGTCCCATAATCAAAAATCTAAACACATGTTTAGATTCAGCATATCAAAGTACCCCAAGAATTCAATTTTTGTTAAAATCAAACTAAGTTTCATTTTGGACCCTTTGGACCTTAATGTAGACCAATTTAAAAAACAGGACCCAAAATTAAAAATCGAAATACACGGTTATATTTGGCATATCAAAGAACCCCAATAATTCAATTTTTGATGAAATCAAACAAAGTTTAATTTTGGACCCTTTTGACCTCAATATGAACCAATTTGATAGCGGGCCCACAAATAAAAAATCTAAATACATGGTAAGATTCAGCATATCAAAGAACCCCATATATTCAATTTTTGTTGAAATCAAACAAAGTTTAATTTTGGACCCCAACTTGGACCAACTTGAAAACTGGGCCCATAATCAAAAATCTAAACACATGTTTAGATTCAACATATCAAAGAATGCCAAAAATTAAAAATTCAATTTTTGTTAAAATCAAACTAAGTTTAATTTTGGACCCTTTGGACCTGAATGTAGACCAATTTAAAAAACGGGACCCAAAATTAAAAATCTCAATACATGGTTAGATTTGGCATATCAAAGAACCCCAATAATTCAATTTTTGATGAAATCAAACTAAGTTTAATTTTGGACCCTTTTGACCTCAATATGAACCAATTTGATAGCGGGGTCCACAAATAAAAAATCTAAATACATGGTAAGATTCAGCATATCAAAGAACCCCATATATTCAATTTTTGTTGAAATCAAACAAAGTTTAATTTTGGACCCCAATTTGGACCAACTTGAAAACTGGGCCAAAAATCTAAAATCTAAATACATGTTTAGATTCAGCATATCAAAGAACCCCATATATTCAATTTTTGTTGAAATCAAACAAAGTTTAATTTTGGACCCCAACTTGGACCAACTTGAAAACTGGGCCCATAATCAAAAATCTAAACACATGTTTAGATTCAGCATATCAAAGTACCCCAAGAATTCAATTTTTGTTAAAATCAAACTAAGTTTCATTTTGGACCCTTTGGACCTTAATGTAGACCAATTTAAAAAACAGGACCCAAAATTAAAAATCGAAATACACGGTTATATTTGGCATATCAAAGAACCCCAATAATTCAATTTTTGAGGAAATCAAACAAAGTTTAATTTTGGACCCTTTTGACCTCAATATGAACCAATTTGATAGCGGGCCCACAAATAAAAAATCTAAATACATGGTAAGATTCAGCATATCAAAGAACCCCATATATTCAATTTTTGTTGAAATCAAACAAAGTTTAATTTTGGACCCCAACTTGGACCAACTTGAAAACTGGGCCCATAATCAAAAATCTAAACACATGTTTAGATTCAGCATATCAAAGAATGCCAAAAATTCAATTTTTGTTAAAATCAAACTAAGTTTAATTTCGGACCCTTTGGACCTTAATGTAGACCAATTTAAAAAACGGGACCCAAAATTAAAAATCGAAATACATGGTTAGATTTGGCATATCAAAGAACCCCAATAATTCAATTTTTGATGAAATCAAACTAAGTTTAATTTTGGACCCTTTTGACCTCAATATGAACCAATTTGATAGCGGGGTCCACAAATAAAAAATCTAAATACATGGTAAGATTCAGCATATCAAAGAACCCCATATATTCAATTTTTGTTGAAATCAAACAAAGTTTAATTTTGGACCCCAATTTGGACCAACTTGAAAACTGGGCCAAAAATCTAAAATCTAAATACATGTTTAGATTCAGCATATCAAAGAACCCCATATATTCAATTTTTGTTGAAATCAAACAAAGTTTAATTTTGGACCCCAACTTGGACCAACTTGAAAACTGGGCCCATAATCAAAAATCTAAACACATGTTTAGATGCAGCATATCAAAGAACCGCAAGAATTCAATTTTTGTTAAAATCAAACTAAAGTTTCATTTTGGACCCTTTGGACCTTAATGTAGACCAATTTAAAAAACGGGACCCAAAATTAAAAATCTAAATACACGGTTAGATTTGGCATATCAAAGAACCCCAATAATTCAATTTTTGATGAAATCAAACAAAGTTTAATTTTGGACCCTTTTGACCTCAATATGAACCAATTTGATAGCGGGGTCTACAAATAAAAAATCTAAATACATGGTTAGATTCAGCATATCAAAGAACCCCATTTATTCAATTTTTGTTGAAAGCAAACAAAGTTTAATTTTGGACCCCAATTTGGACCAACTTGAAAACTGGGCCAAAAATCAAAAATCTAAATACATGTTCAGATTCAGCATATCAAAGAACCCCATATATTCAATTTTTGTTAAAATCAAACAAAGTTTAATTTTGGACCCTTTGGACCTTAATGTAGACCAATTTGAAAACTGGACCCAAAATTAAAAATCTAAATACACAGTTAGATTCGCCATAACAAATAATTAAATGTGGTCAAAGATTTTACAAATCTAATGCGCCATACTGTGCAATTAAAGATTACTTCTTGAAATTTTTCAATATTTGAAATTTGAAAAAAAAATAATATTTGAAGAATAATTCTTTTAAATTTCTGAAATCTGAAATGAGAAAAAATTGACCCCCCACAATTTCTTTTTACCCCCCCCCCCCTTTTTTTCCCAAAAAAATTCTTTCCCTCAAGATATGGTCATTATCTCAATTCAAATTTCCAATGGAGTTTGCAACCATAATTACCCATTTAAATTTAACATAGTGCTAACTTAATCTATTTCATAATAGAATTTAAAATATAGTGTCAAATCTTTCATATGGATTTTTTTGTTAAAAAAAAGATGCAACATTTGCAGATATTTTTACTGGTCTTCCTTTATAAATATGCATTTCTTTAAACATTATTTAAAAGCAGTGTAAGGGAAGTAACCAAAACGTTGTATTTGGATTACCTCCCTTACACTGTTTTAAATTATCTTAATTGTTCATTAACCATTACTTTATACATAATTTAAAAGCAGTGTAAGGGAGATAATTTCAATGATGTTTTTGATTTATCTCCCTTACACTGCTTTAAATTATGTTTTGTACTAAAGTATTTGTCCATTAACCAGGACAACCTTGTTTTTCCCCCTTTTTTGCCCCTAGTTCTTAAACGGTTTGAGCCATAACCCCCCAAAGCAAATCCTAACCATCCCTTTGTGGTATGGAAACTTGTAGTATAATTTCAGAGAGATCCATACACCATTCCACAGTTATTGTCTGGAAACTAGAAAATGCTTATTTTTGGCCCCTTTTTGGCCCCTAATTCCTTAACTGTTGGTACCATAACCCCCAAAATCAATCCCCACCTTCCTTTTGTGGTATTGAACCTTATGGTTAAATTTCATAGAGATCCATTCACTTAAACTAAAGTTAGAGTGCGAAAACTAATGCGTCTTCGGACGACGACGACGACGACGCCAACGTCATACCAATATACGACCACAAAAATTTTTTTGCGGTCGTATAAAAAGGTGACCATGCCTGATGACTTCAAATATAAAGAACACAACTTTCTGCAAATCTTTGAAGAGGAAGGATAAACTTGTTTAGAAATCGTCTTAAAATCATTAAAGAAACAGATTCCACCACTATATCTCGTGTATAAGGATATTACTCCACTCTCAACAGTTAAATTTAAAATATTTAAAAAGATCGGCAAGCCTCACGTTTTAAATTATAAAATTTAACTGTCTCAAGTGGAGAAATATCGTAAAAAACTTGATGCAGTGGTGGAATCTATACATGTAAAATGATGTTCTGTTCATGTTCAAAGTCAAAATGGATACTGCTGTACATTTCAACTACTTAGTTTAATACAAAATTCTTATTTTCAATCCATTACTATTTTTCCTTCACAATCCTATGCTAAAATTTTCCCCGTACAATCCTATGCTAAAATTGAAGTAATGTGGAAGGAATCTGTCAATGAAAAGATATGTTCTGTGAATAAAAGAAAGTCCAACAAAAGATAGAATGTTTAGTATAGAAACTAGTTTCTCTCTCAGATTATGGGTCAAACTTGTTACAAGACATGACCAGTATTGTTCAACTCGAGTTAGTGACACAAATAAACATGCATGTAATATGCACTGATTTGTTATTCATAGGATAAGCTTGGAATTTACATGCATAGTCAGTAAATTCTTAAACATTTTTCATTCAAAAACAAAGAGAAATTTGCATTCATTAAACATGTACACATCACGTCATCAAACATATTCCTACAAACTTCTACATATCAGAGCATTCCTTTCTTACAGTACTATGTGTCTTCCCTAATTATCACAATTTTTGTTGGAGTAATTTCTAATATAATGTTCTGGACTACCAAGAACATGTAGTCTTACAGAGTGACATATTCAAAAATTTCTCATAATGATGGGTATACATGTTCATGTACCTGGTATTCAATAAAAAAAATACTGTCTTATTCTCCTATGGAAACAGCAAAATGAAACCAAGATGCCCTAGATCATGATTGATTGATTGATTGTTGTTTGCTTTACTCCGCATTAGCACAAAAAGGCTATATCGCGGCGATCCCCTAGATCATGAAGATTGTTTAATATTTATAACACACATTAAAGGCTGAAAGATATGTAGCTAAATACACCCTTTGTTTTACAGTTTTAATATTTTTCTAACTTGACCAAATTATATATCCATACAGATATTATCTAACATTATACTTCTTTATCTTTTTCTAGTCAAACTACTTTACAACTAAAGCTATAATCTATTAACAAATCTTCCATGCAAATCTATGTAACCATTTAAAAGTAATACTAACAGTTTTATTGCTAAGAATGTATCAAACTCCATTAGTCCTTATAATTAAAAATATCTGTATCTGCAAAAATTTGCTAATCTAATTTGGCTATCATCAAATTTTTCTAATTTATGCTTCTCCAAACTATGGGTTCACCCTGGGAACAGTATATCTAACGGGAAATGAATCTGATACGCTTTTCAGTATAAAATTGATAAAATCTCGGACTCCCCGAGACTTCCCGAGATTTACGGATTTTGGTAGCGTCTGGCTGAAAAACTATCAGAACTGCTCAACAAATAAACCACATAACTCTAATTGTAAATAAATACAAGTTTTATCATTTAGTAAATATATTTTGTCATATAAAATTACCAAAATAAGTTTGATTTATTTGATGTGAAGTGCTTTATAATAGTTTGGGAATTTGTAAATCATCGCGGCAATGGCCGCCATTTTTTTATTACCTGGTTTGCATTCTGCACAATTCTGTAATGAAATGCTTGCGATTTTAACAAATTTGAAGTGACAGAATACAAGTTTGATACACTAGCATCACTATAAAACTAGTTTGAATGACATTTTATTGATAATATCAGAAATTATTAGGATAATAGCGAGTCCGTTTTTAACACATGTCCGTTTCTGTATCGTATCTTTATTAACTATGGCACGACGATAAAATCGACTACAATCAGGTAGTGTCAAGTCCCGTCAATATATATGTTCCTGGTTCACCTCATTTTTCAAAAGTGACCTCCAGACTCAATAAATCAGATGCCTACAAACATTCCTGAATGAAAATAATATGAACAAATAAATTTTTCTTTTTTTTTATGAAAATGGTTGCTTTTGACTGGATATTGAGCACTGAAAATCAGCAAATATTCCTGCATCAAGGGTATTTATATAACTGTATAGCCATGTAGAAACCAAAACTAAAATGTATATGACCAGTTATTCATTAACATGTGGAAGCCTACCATATTTATCCAAAGTTTTGATATCTCACTCTTTTAATAAAATATCTCCAAATTTCTCCTTCTTTCACCATTATTTCACAACCGAGTAGTTGTTAGCCCTATGAACATTTACAAATAATTGTCAAAACTTTGTAATGTAGAACAGTCACTCTTTGGACCAGAGAAAACTGACCGTATATGAGAGGGGACCTTTGAATTAAGGTTCAAAATGTATAGGTAATACAAAATAGGGACAAAATGGGGGTGACCTGACAAGACAGGTTTTTGCTTAAAAGAGGCGACCTTTATAGCAGGTTTGAATGTGTCTAGATAGGCAAAAGGGGAGGTTTGTGTGCATGTAAAACTGGTTTAACACTGCCACAAATTGTGTATGAATGAGTCAGAATGCACCATGTGTTGTTTATCTTTGTTCATCTTATAAAAATAAAATGCTCCGCTGGGGCGCAGCTTGATACGACCGCAGAGGTCGAACCCTGAACAGCTGGGGCAAGTATGGACACAACATTCAAGCTTGATACAGCACTGAATTTGGATTGTAATTAAATATTTGACACAGCATAGGTTTCTGACACAGAATGAATGTGGTCTAAGAACTAAAAGATTTTTAATTTACCTATTCAAACCATATCATTATTATTTGCTTTTATATATAAATCAGAAATAACCAATTTAAAATGGAAAATTTTAAAGAAAAAAAAGGAAAAAAAAATCCCCCCCACCAAATTTTTTGAACCCCCTTATGATTCATCACCCCAAACTCAATCCCAGCCTTCCCTTTATGGTATGATACCTTGCAGTACAATTTCAGAGAGATCCATACACTTGAACACAAGTTATTGTCAGGAAACTAGAAAAATGCTTGTTTTTTGGCCCCTTTTTGGCCCCAAATTCCTAAACATTAAGGGCAATTACCCCCAAACTCAAACCTAGTTTTCCCTTTGTTATATGGAACCTTGCATAACAATTTCATAAAGATCCATACACTTACACACAAGTTATTGTCCTAAAACTAGAAAAATGCTTGTTTTTTTGCCCCTTTATGGCCCCTAATTCCTAAAATTTTGAAGGAATTACCCCCAAAATCAATCCCAGCCTTCCCTTTGTGGTATGGTACCTTGCAGTACAATTTCAGAGAGATCCATACACTTGAACACAAGTTATTGTCTGGAAACTAGAAAAATTCTTGTTTTTTGGCCCCTTTTTGTCCCCAAATTCCTAAACGTTTAGGGCAATTACCCCCAAACTCAAACCTAGCTTTCCTTTTGTGATATGGAACCTTGCAGTACAATTTCATAAAGATCCATACACTTACACACAAGTTATTGTCCTGAAACTAGAAAAATGCTTGTTTTTTTGCCCCTTTATGGCCACTAATTCCTAAAATTTAGAGGGAATTACCCCCAAAATCAATCCCAGCCTTCCCTTTGTAGTATGGTACCTTGCAGTACAATTTCTGAGAGATCCATACACTTGAACACAAGTTATTGTCTGGAAACTAGAAAAATGCTTATTTTTGGCCCCTTTTTGGCCCCTTATTCCTTAATGTTTTGGGCAATTACCCCCAAACTCAATTCCAGCTTTCCCTTTGTGATATGGAACCTTGTAGTACAATTTCATAAAGATCCATACACTTACACACAAGTTATTGTCATGAAACTAGAAAAATGCTTGTTTTTTGCCCCTTTTTGGCCCCTAATTCCTAAAATTTGGAGGCAATTACCCCCAAAATCAATCCCAGCATTCCCTTTGTGATATGGAACCTTGTGGTACAATGTCAGAGAGATCCATACACTTACACACAAGTTATTGTCATGAAACTAGAAAAATGCTTGTTTTTTGCCCCTTTTTGGCCCCTAATTCCTAAAATTTGGAGGCAATTACCCCCAAAATCAATCCCAGCATTCCCTTTGTGATATGGAACCTTGTGGTACAATGTCAGAGAGATTCATACACTAACACACAAGTTGTGTCTGGAAGTTACAAAAATGCTTATTTTTGGCCCCTCATTCCTTAACTGTTGGTACCATAACTCCTAAAATCAATCCCCACCTTCCTTTTGTGGTATTGAACCTTATGGTGAAATTTCATAGAGATCCATTTTCTTAAACTAAAGTTAGAGTGCGAAAACCAATGTGTCTTCGGATGACGACGACGATGACGTCGACTCCCGTCATACCAATACACGACCACAAAATTTTTTTGTGGTCGTATAATAAGGAGATGAGGTATGATTGTCAATGAGACAACTATCTACTTAAATTCAAATAAAGTGGATGTAAGCAATTATAGGCAACTGTACGGCCTTCAACAATGAGAACAAAAACCATACCATATAGTCGGCTATAAAAGGCCCCGACATGAAAAATATGAAACAATTCAATTGAGAAAACTAACAGCCTAATTTATAACAAAACAATTAACGAAAAACAAATATGACAGACATGAATCACGTGTTGGTCATTAGTGTGGTTTGTTAAAATGTTAATGTTTTTTGGTAATTCCTGTTTCCCTTTGTATGTATCATAAAGTACTATTTAAGACCATTTTTCAGACCGAATATAATGGAAAGAAAATCAATCAGCTACACATTCCCATCTTACCTTTACCAGCATGATAAAGTCTACCATCAGATTTATAGGTTTGACTGTCTAACAGCTGGTTTGTTTCTCCACTCTCCTCATTATCTGAAATAAATGAACACACAAATATCATGATGGACATACATTTCCTTTATTTGGATATATTAGCGTCTATTTGCCATATTCCTCACATTAAAAAAAAATCATATATATATGCAATTTTAAATCTCTACATCACAGAGTATGTGAAAGACTCTGGTATGAACAGTAAAAACCAGTAAAATACTTGTCAGACCAGTAAAATGAGATTTTTATGGGTCCAAATATCCAATAAAATTTCCTTTATAAATTTCATGAGTCTGTAGCGCTTTTTCTGGATTTACCTTCATCGAGATCGCTCAAACCTAAACAAAATTTTTTATATTAACCAGGGATATATAAATATGTAAAAACATTAAAAGCTATATAATTATTGATTGTCCACTGAAATTTTGTTTGAAGGGTAGATAACAATCGTCTATTGGACCAAATGTCAGTGAACCATCCAGTACCTTTGTAATCTCTGAGTCATCAGAGTGACATCTGTGTCAAGAGAATTCAATGAATTTCCAGCCTTAACCTTATCACAGTTTGACTAATCCAATTCTTATAAAGTTAATTTTCTTTTTGTGACCTGTCCTTTTACTAATTTATAACTAAATTATGCCAAAAGATGATAGAGCAAAATGCAGTTCTTTCAATTAAGGCTTATCAATTAACAGGAAGCAGCATTTGAAAAACAGTGTTAACTTACAACTAAAACTATTCAAGATTAGAATACAGCTAGCAAATATTTCCAATTTAAGGATTAATTTCTTGAGAGCAAAGTATGGTGAAAAAAGATCAACTGGGATAGTATGTACATGTGAGATAAATGTTCATGTCGAAGCTATCAAAAGTTAATCTTTAAAAGTAGATTTTCTGACAAGACTTCCTTTTGAACACTCTTTATATGCATGTCAATGCTAATTCTGCTAAGAGAGTAGTTCAATAGAATGTCTTTCCAATTTTATGTGAGGTTTTTGTTTTACTAACACTGATTAGCATGTACCAGTCTGCATCTTCATATTTTACATTAATTAAATTCAATCTTACAGGCTGGACAAGTTATAGGTTGAAAGAGAATACCTTTATCATGAATTTCACTGTAAATTCCTTCAGAAGAATGATTAGACTGTCTCACTCTGTCTTCTTTTTTGTCATGGGAATTTTCTCTGAAATATATTAAATTTTACACATAAATAACATAAATAAAATGCTCCGCTGGGGCGCAGCTTGATACGACCGCAGAGGTCGAACCCTGAACAGTTGGGGCAAGTATGGACACAACATTCAAGCTTGATACAGCACTGAATTTGGATTGTTATTAAATATTTGACACAGCATAGGTTTCTGACACAGAATAAATGTGGTCTAAGAACTTAAAAAATTTTAATTTATCTATTCAAACCATGTCATTATTATTTGCTTTTATATATAAATCAGAAATAACCAATTTAAAATGGAAAATTTTAAAGAAAAAAAGGAAAAAAAAATCCCCCCCCCCAAATTTTTTGAACCCCTTATGATTCATCACCCCCAAGCTCAATCCCAGCCTTCCCTTTGTGGTATGGTACCTTGCAGTACAATTTCAGAGAGATCCATACACTTGAACACAAGTTATTGTCTGGAAACTAGAAAAATGCTTGTTTTTTTGCCCCTTTTTGGCCCCTAATTCCTAAAGGTTTAGGGCAATTACCCCCAAACTCAAACCCAGCTTTCCCTTTGTTATATGGAACCTTGCAGTACAATTTCATAAAGATCCATACACTTACACACAAGTTATTGTCCTGAAACTAGAAAAATGCTTGTTTTTTTCCCCTTTTATGGCCCCTAATTCCTAAAATTTTTAGGGTATTACCCCCAAAATCAATCCCAGCATTCCCTTTGTGGTATGGTACCTTGCAGTACAAAATATAAAGATCCATACACTTACACACAAGTTATTGTCATGAAACTAGAAAAATGCTTGTTTTTTGCCCCTTTTTGTCCCCTAAGGGTGCAATCAACAGTTTTTTTCTATGACGTCATATTTTAAGGGTCCATGCCTAAGTGACCCTTAGTGGTGGAATGGTTAATAAAGATACTTGTATAAAACTAGATATCACTGGAATCAGAATTTTCTCTAGTTTATATTGAAATAAAAATATAGTGTACTTTTGATATAGTAAAAAAGTTCTATCCAGAGAAAATGGGGAAAAAGTTGCCTAATCTGAACATAAAAAACCTGAAATCAGGTCATGTGCATACCCATGTAAACATGATACAGGCACATATCCCATAATCAAAACTGTATGTAATTCATAGGTTTTTACCTGGCCTTTAATAAAAATCTTGTTTTAGGGTATGGTTTCCTGCTTAGAAAAGAGCTACAGTGGCTGCAAATAAGTTTTCAATTTTCACTGCCAAAAAGCAGGATGTTTACAGTGTTGTCTCCCCTCAAAACATGTATATTTAATCTAATTTTTAAAATTATTTTAATCATTCAACTTGTTTAAATTGAAAGCTAATTAACTAATTTTTACAATCAAATACAAAAAACATGATACTTTTTCACTAATTATATGAATAAAAAGGGATTTTCCTCCATGGTTATTTTTAGTCGGAGAATAACCCCTAGTTTTTTATACGAAACTGTTTATAGCACCCTAATTCCTAAAATTTGGAGGCAATTACTCCCAAAATCAATTCCAGCATTCCCTTTGTGATATGGAACCTTGTGATACAATGTCAGAGAGATCCATACACTTACACACAAGTTATTGTCATGAAACTAGAAAATTGCTTGTTTTTTGCCCCTTTTTGGCCCCTAATTCCTAAAATTTGGAGGCAATTACCCCCAAAATCAATCCCAGCATTCCCTTTGTGATATGGAACCGTGTGGTACAATGTCAGAGAGATCCATACACTTACACACAAGTTGTGTCTGGAAGTTACAAAAATGCTTATTTTTGGCCCCTCATTCCTTAACTGTTGGTACAAAAAATTAAACAACTGCAGTGAAGAGTTCCCTTAAAAACTTGTGACAACCATTCAGATCTACTTAGTGAGGAAGAACACTCCTCTATCATTGAAAACTGTATGTAGACTTCTAGACTTTTGTTTAAAGTTTTTTGTTGTTGGGTTGCAGTTTCACTTATAAATACCAGTATATATGTCTCTTTTTATTCATATTGAGATAGAATCTTCAAAAATTTAAACATTTATATGTGTCAGGATCACATATGCAGTACATTTGGGCATTTTAGCAAATAACAATCTTCTCTAGTTTTACACGCTAATATGCTGAAGCGAAAAATTTAACAAATGTTCTACGGGTGTGAAGATTCATCTTATCCAGTCTTATTTGTGTATCTTTATGGTCTAAATGTAAGTCTACCTCTTAAAATAATATGTGTGTGATGTATAATAATGCTTTCAGAATAATAATGGGATATCAATATAGACATGATAGATGTATAGCAAGTAATATGTTTGTTGTAAATGAAGTAACAAGTTATTTCCTTCAAAGAAGTTATGCGAAAGTCTATGTTTATTTTGTTAAATCACTTTAAATTATATGAAAATCATTTGGTTAATACAATTCTTAGAAGAGATTTATTGTATTCTTCAGCATTGTTAAGAGTATGGTACAATGAGTTATAGCTAAATTTTTAACTATATTGAATACTGTAAATATGTTAACATTGTATCCTGTTTAAACAAAATATGTTGTTTAATGTATATAATATATGGACCTTTTGAGTCTGAAATAAAGATTATCTTATCTTTTCTTATACACCTCTAAGGTTATAGAATTACCAGTAATATCTACATGTACAACAATGTATATAAGTAAATGACAAGTTATAGAGTAAAAATCTACGTATATGAACTGCATTTGACAAATCCCCATGATATTAAATAATTTGGAATCTTAAGTTCTATTCTCTGGTATTGAACTTAACCTTAAGTGTTTAGCAGAAAATATGGTCCTTCTGTGATTATTTTTTAGCTTGCTTAAAAGCTGTCCTGAGTTGGAAAGTGGAACATTGTGAAAAAAAATCATTCTTTGAAAAATGAAATTTTAGAAAGAATGACCAAAAATTTACCCTAAAATTTAGCATGCTATCACTAAAGAAGATTTGGCATCTAATGAATTGTATATATTATCAAGAAAATCAACTGGTCAATCCTTAAATAATTTATATAGCATTTATTTGTTTTGGATTCAAGTTAAAACTGAGCACCATTTTCTGTGTTTAAAGTGAGTCATATATCTCATAATTTACAAGATGCAGTCCTTAATATTATGATTATTTATAAGCTAAATAAAAAGTTCACCTCATTATCCAAACTGGTTCAGGATCTTCATCAGACTGGGGTGTATACTTGATTTTTTCTTTACTTGAATGAATAGTAGATTTAATATCAGCTATGGCTAAGTCTAATGCCTCACGTTTTGCTTTCAAATCCTCCATTATTGCAGAAGCATCAATTTCTTTAGCTTTTGTAATATTTTCACTATTAGACAACTGTTCGTCTACAACTTGTGACTGTTTTTTGCGTAATAAATGTGTAGGAGATTTGTGTGTACTACTTGGTGGGGCATCTTCAACATCACTTGTTTGACTACTAGATAAACCATCTTCAACATTTGGCATTCCTAAATTTGACTTGTCATCATCCGAAACAACACTTTCTACCTCCGCACTATCACATTCAGTGTTCTCTGGTGACAATGAAAATGCTTTCTGATCATCCATACAAAATCCGTCATTGTTATTCAATGGGATTTCTGTCAGCGTGTCTTCATTTAAATTTTGTATAGTTTCTAGAATGGATAATTCCTGTTTAATGTTTACAGTTTTATCAGGGGAAGCATCTCTAGAATTATCATCATCTGTAGGCAAAATTCCATTCACATTGTTTTTATCTTTATCTTCAGTACTTGAATAAGCTAGCCTCATTCCTACATACGAATCACCATCCTGAACTCGAGAATACTTCACGTAATCATATTCATTAATGATTTCAACATTTTTAGAGTTTTCTAACTGCTTTGGATTTGAATTTTCAAATTCTGATAATATTTTGGTGTCTAATGATTCTTTTTCTTTATCATGTTTATGAAATGAATCGTGCTTGGTGAAATGAGGCTGAATTTCACATTCTGATACATCTGTATACTGTTTCTTCAAAGGGATATCTCTTTCTGAACTGGATCCTTCCCGATCACTGCCACTGTCACCAATACGACAAGCTACACCTGGGGATTTCTTTTTAATTTTCGGTTTTGCACCTTGTGAATTATATTTGATTAAATTGTCTAGATCTTTATTGTAGCTTTTTACCTCGCCCTTAACTGGAATATTATTTCTAATTTCCAAACTGTTTCTTTTTTGAACAGCTGAATGATTCTTACTTTCTTTTTCTGACTCCATATTAATGTCTTGACTTTCTTTTGAATCTACCTGAATCAGATCTTTCATTTTTGACACTTCAATAGTAAGTTTATCGATATTTTCAGATTCACATTGAGACTTTAATTCAATTGCATTTAAGCAGCTTTTCTTGTATTTTTCATTTGTTTTGGTTTGCAAATCACGTATGTCTATTTGTGTTATTTCATCCTGCTGATAAATATCAGTAAAATCTGGGGGTAATGAGTCAGCACTATCTTCACTCTCATGTCTGGAGAGTCCAGTTCCATCACCGTCATCCAACAAATTCTGATAGGATATTGAACTAAGTTCACTTGGGTGTCTTGAACTTTCCTCTTCAAATTGAACTTCAAGACTTAAATTATCTGCTGAATCGCTGTTGGGTGAAATGGGACGTAAAAAATCTCCACCACAAGCACCTGTTGCTACAGATTCTGGTTGACAACTATCTTCTGGATCTGATGCTACATTGTCCTCGTTATCGGACATTGTTTTGATGTGACAAACTTAAGAACATCTATAGATCTCTTTACTCACATTTTCTACAAAAGAAACCAGTAAAATGAGTCAAAGACCTTCAAAGTGGGTTCATATGAATATTAAAGTTTGTTAAATGCATGTTTTATGGGCTATTTTCTGATGGATATAGTCCGCATATGCATATTCATACTGGACATAGGTCCAGAATTTATTGTAATGTTTACTAAAACTTTTTTTCACACAACTTTACGAAAAAATGAGATGAGAACCGCATGATTTTTGTTTGAACTCTTGATAGATACATGTAAATGCTTTAAGAAAAGGTATCCTTTGTTAATTTATGTTGATCATTGACATTTTGCTTACATTTAATGTTAGAATAGGTAACAGAAGAAACTAAGCCGGCCGGCTTAGTTTCTTCGGTTACCTATTCTAACATCGGACTAGGACTTCTTTTAAGCTGAGTTTTACTGTGCATATTGCTGTGTGTTTGTTTATTCTACATTGGCTAGAGGTATAGGGTAGGGTTGAGATCTCACAAAACATGTTTAACCCCGAAGCATTTTTGCGACTGTCCCAAGTCAGGAACCTCTGGCCTTTGTTAGTCTTGTATGTTTTTTTACTTTTGGTTCATTTATATGTTTTGGAGTTTAGTGTGACGTCCATTTTCCCTGAACTAGTACACATTTTTTTTAGGGGCCAGCTGAAGCCCGCCTCCTGGTGCGGGATTTTCTCACTGTGTTGAAGACCCATTGGTGGCCTTGGGCTGTTTTCTGCTCTTTGGTTGGGTTGTTGTCTCTTTGACACATTCCCCGTTTCCATTCTCAATTTTATCAATCAAAGGGATTGACATTCTACTCTGGACGAAATTTTAGGGACACATATGACATCTTCATGCCCATTTTTCGCAATTTTTTGTAGCAAATAAATGCACATTGTAACTATTGGAAATCAAATCTATGGAAGATACTGATTGCATACATATGCACATACATGACACAAACAGAAAATTAGCCAAAAATCGTCATTTAGGGACAATAACTCTTTGAGGAGCCATCTGATAATTTCTGTGAAAGTAGGAAGTAGGTAGATATTGAAATTCAGAGCATTTTTGCTCAGTCAGATTTTCTTTATCTATTATGGTATTCAAAATATAAGAAAAATTAATGCATTTTACCCCCAATGTCATGAATGTTCTATTTTTAGCCATGTTGGCCTTGTTTGTTAACTGACCAGGAAAAAAAATACAAACTTTATACTAAATACCATAAGGATAATTCCCTCAAGATTGGTTGAAATTGGTTCAGCTGTTTCAAAGGAGAAGATGTTAGAAAAAGTTTACATGAGTGATGACGACAGACAAGTGATCATGGCAATAGCTCACATGAACTTATGGCCAGGTGAACTACATTTTTTTTGTAATAATAGAACACAGTAGTATTTAATCAGAAAACTAATTGTTTCTGTTTTTTCATTCTCATATTTGATCAACAGTAAAACTGTCATGGACTTATGTTTATTGTATAAGTTTTCAACAAGTCCATTATTTTATCCTACATATTTCATTGTAAATCAGAATATTAGAGGTTCTTTTTTTAAAAGTAGTGCAGTGGCATAGCCACTGGAAAATAAATTGTAAGCAGGGGGTCTGGGGCGGCAGTTTTTATTGATGGAGGAAGCTGGAGTAACTGAATAGAAACACAGACCTTTGGCAGAAAAAAAAAACTGGCAATCCTAGTCAATTAAGATACTACAGATAGGAGTTAAAAGCACCTGCCACAAGCAGGGTTGTAACTCAATTGTTACTAATTTACCTTTGTCCAGAAAGTCTGTTCATTTTGTTAACATAAATTTAAGGGAACTGACTTCCAGAATTGTAATAGACGTATTTACACTTGTATGCAAATTTGTCCACCATTACTTAAAATCACACAAGTTCCTGTAAAATTTGACATCACAATTTAAAAATTTTGACTTCATAATTTAAAAGTGATTGTTGCTTAACATCAGAAGTTTATTCGGAGACAGATCTAAGGTCATTCGGAGGCAAAATTCAGCTAAAAACCAAAAGTGTAAATACGTTTATTACCCATCCCCATTGTAGTATATAAAATCCAACCACACCATGGTTTAACTGTTTAATGTAAATGGTGTACCTGTATTTAGAAGATTTGATATCTATTTTATCATTGCATTGAATAACACATGCACCATTGAGTCACAAAATAAACAGAAAGCTGATTATGGACTTGACCTGAAACATTATCCAAATTTCAGTGAGAACAATTAAATGTGTACTGCCTACTGGTAGACGAAATTTAATTACAAAACATTCCACAATATCTCAGAACATTTTCTTTTATTACTATTTATAACTTTTTCTGATCAAGTGCACGAAAGTTAAAAAACAATACAAAAATCATTAACAGATGCTGAGAATGTAAGACAATGAATGACATCATCAACATGTTGATGAAAATCAAATTTATGCACAATCAACAACCCTGCATACAGCAATTGCACATGCTTTGTTTAAATGTAGATACACTGTTTCATGTTTACAACATATCGTTACCTCCTCCTTCAATTCAAATACATCTTAAATGCTGTTTTATTCTTATGTTATTGTGTTAAATGTTAGGTTTTCTCCTACTGCTGTCAAACCTCGGCAATAAAAACCGGAAGTTACATGTCAATATTGATTTGACTGGTTTTCGGTGGAATGTTAACTACCGGAATAAAGATACCACAGACAATTTACATCAAGTTACCAGTCAATATTGATTTTCGGGTCGGTTCGATTTATGACGCATTGTTGGCATTTTTGGTCTAGAGATTTCAAAACTACAGCTAGAGGTCAAAAAGTTTCAACATTTGGAAAAAAAACACATTTTAATAAAAAAAAAAAATCTACTTAAGATATTTCTTATTTGAATGATTTTTTTTGTCATTTTACTGAAAATACAGAAATGCATGCAGTTTCTTGCAATTATTATATACGACTTTCGAATAATTCGTGCACTTTCACGTAACGTGACAGTAAGATTGTTCGTTTACGCCGATTGACCTCGGGTCAACCGATGTAGTTCATTACTTTTGAAAAAAAAACTCGAAGTTGGTGTATAAAATACTGATGAATATATTTATGATTTATTCCGGCTTTAGAGAAAATCGATGTTTTTACAGACAAGTGTGAATTTCTGCAACACCAATAATTCAAAAGATTAAAACATTGAAATAACATAAAATTATAACAAGCCAAAAGATATCATTGAAAGTATATGATATTATTAAAATAGCTCATGAAATATGCCCTGTATTGCAAGTGTGGCTGATATGAGTTTCAATAATCATATATCACACACATACATATATATCAACGCAATCATGCATAGGTTTGAACGTTGTTTTCAATTTAGACTTGTTTATATTTTTTCGTTTGGGCTTGTATTATATTTGCCTTCGGGTTTATATGATCCGTTCATCCTATTACGACTCTTCAAAATTCAAGAGTCTATCCTAAATTGAGGTAAATTATATGGCCTTCCAAATACCGTTTCGATTCCTAACATCACTGAAGAGACATTAATTGTCGAAATCCGGATATTTCCGAAATTAAATAGGTGTATATACATTTAATTGTATAATTCAATTGTATATTTCAGAGAGATCCATACACTGTTCCACAAGTTATTGTCATGAAACTAGAAAAATGCTTACCGTTTCGATTCCTAACATCACTGAAGAGAAATTAATTGTCGAAATCCGGATATGGTGTACTAATTTATGCACCTTTTGTTTGCGGTATACCATCTTTTCCGCAAGTTTATTGTTTTCTGTTTGGTATTAAATTAATAGTTAAGATCCGTTTTGTTAAAATATACTTTTTCACTTTTTTGGTCTTGTGGAAAATGTTGTTTGTGCTGTATTTAAACCCCTTTTCAATTTAGACTTGTTTATATATATATATATCTTCTGCAAGCAGATGGGATGTGTAACAGAGATTGCCTGTAATGTCATTAATATACAAAAGAAATAGTAGAGGACCCAACTAAGGGCACTACGGAACTCCTGTTTTGATGTCGTAATTATTTGAAGTTTCACTGTTTAAAGTTGCTCTCTGTTGCAAATGTAGTTTTTGAAGTAGAACAGTATATCTCTGCAACCAGAATCTGCGTTTCTTTTTAACATTGATGGCTTATTAAAAACATTGACTGTTTTCATTGGTTTACAGGCATCGTTGATGTCTAGCTCAGTCATTACAAGATTAGACATATTGAAACTAGTACCAAGGGTTCAGTATAGCTATGTATCAAGAGATCTATCAAAATTAATGTCGTCATATGTTAAGGCGACGTCACAAGAAAAAGCACGAATTCGTTTTTAAACGAAAATTGCATCCATGAAAGGTTATCTTTGTCTTTTGTTTATACATGTATGTTCCACAACGCCTATATAGTGAATAGTTGTATGACGTTTGCTAATTGTCTTCTCTACTTTTTACTCTGAATACGAATTACAGAACCATGACTATACAACTAAAATAAATCATGACACTATATTTTCAACAAACTTATATTATATGCAAAAGTGGGTATTTTCCAGAATATTTAAAACCAACAATAATGATGTAATATGCCGTAGTCTCACATTTTTGGATTTATAGAAAAGCAGTGGCCAACTTCAAAATTTAACGTACACAAACGTTATTTGTTGTCATAATATCATAGAAATAAGAAGATGTGGGTATGATTAATGAAAAAAAAAATGCATTTCCAAGGCAAAAATATCAACAATACACCTTCAACCGGGATTTAGTATAATGACGTAATAAACAGTTTTTGAAAAGCATGACCTTCTGATATGCCAAAATATTAATAGGATCTAGGACCATAAGTGTTAATAACTGGTTGGCAATATATTAGTTACGTATTCAACTATTAAAATGGTAAAATTTTCGCTTTTAATAAAGGTCTTTTAGTGTGTGTGTGTGTTTGGCGGTTGTCGTCACACACCCTCTTATGTATTTTTTATGAGAGCAAGGTTGGTTAACTAGTCATCGTAGAATAGAATATCACAAAGGGGATGACAAACATAAGGAAAACATCAGTGTCTACCCTAAATCCATTCGGGAATGGAACGCCTGACCACAAACCACATTCACCGCTTCGAATCTTGAATGTTCCAAGGCTCGGCTTTATAGATAGATAAAATTTATGATTTGAAAGAGCACCTGTATATACTGATTTGTTGCCTTCAGCTTAAAATAGCTCGAGTCCAGATATGGGTCATTTAAAAAAAATGTGAATGAAGTCAGATGTTTTGTAATTTATGTGCGTACAGTATTAGGGTACAAATTTATAATTATTTTTTTCCTGTTTTCTAACTGCCTTGAAATCCGCAAAATGAAAAATTTTAGAATATGCATGTAATTTTTTCTACAATCTTAATTCAATCGGTGTATATGCAATGCAATGCATGTCTATCCTGTTACCGGTACTATATCATCCGTATAATTATTTCTCCCTATGAATATGGAACTTTTCAGTAATGATTTCAAAAGCATATAGTAGTTAGACCCCAACAACATTCATAAATATAGAAATTTGTCTATCCTGCTCCTGTCTTTTCTGTTACTATATATGGTTAAAGTAACAGGATAGACAATATTTGACTGAACAGTCTTTAAATAGTATGTAAATACATATATTTTTTACGCATAATGAAAAAATTGGTTGTTTGAACCATGGAAGTAAAATGTAATATAATACTTCCATGTTTGAACTCACTCATGGTTACAACGCCTAAATCCTCGCTATTTAACATACACAAAGATCACAAAATGCAATATTGCTATCAGTAACAGGATAGGCAAAACTAGTGATTGGATAGAACTTATTTTGGTGATATATTGTTATCATAAATAAGAAGATATGGTATGAGTGCCAATGAGACAACTATCCATCCAAGTCACAATGTGTAAAAAGTAAACAATTATAGGTCAAAGTACGGCCTTCAACACGGAGCATTGGCTCACACCGAACAGCAAGCTATAAACGGCCCCAAAAAGACTAGTGTAAAACAATTCAAACAGGAAAACCAACGGTCTAATCTATATAAAAATAGAGAAACGAGAAACACTTATGAACCACACCAACAAACGACAACCATTGAACAACAGGCTCCTGTCTTAGGACAGGTGCATAAAATGCAGCGGGTTTAAACGTTTTAACAAGCGCCTACCATCACCCTAACCTGAAACACACATTCCTGTTACCAACAACAAAATGACAAAAGTAAAACAATTTGTGAAGGAATAGCTTGATGTTGGGTTAATTAGATAGTTAAAAAAAACCTGAATATTGTGAATTGATGTTTAAGACTTACGTTTCGGATGATCAATTTTATAACCTTTGAAAACCAGTCTTTAGAGGTATATTTCGGCTAGATATTGAAAATTGGTAAACAATCTACCAATCCACAGAAAGATAATATATAGTAGTTTTATTCTTGAAAACCAATTTATTGTTCATGAAAAACAAGCTCTGTAAAGTTTTATCGAAACCTTTAAAAATTCGAAAATTCCTTTAGAACATGGTAACAGGATAGGTGCAGGCTGGCATATCTGATGAATAAACAATACGCTCATTGGAATACTTCATTACACAGATTCATATACTGTAGATTAGTATAGTTTAATGTTATTGATATTAGAGCGTGTAAATTTGTTATCGTTGAGTGCTTCATTTCGATATGAAAATAAGAATTAAGATGTGGTATATATACTATTGCCAATGAGACAACTCCCCACCAGAGACCTAATGACGTAGAAGATTAGCAACTATATATAAGTCACCATACGGCCTACAACAATGAGCAAAACCCATACCGCATAGCAAGCTATAACAGACCCCGAAATGACAAATGCATAAATAATTAAAAAACGACTAAAAGACGATTTTCTGAAAGTCAGGAAAAGTATAAAAGATTCCCCACCTGACAACCTAGGACAATTAGACACTTACTTTAAATTTAAGTCTACTTCCCAGTTTGAACAATATTTAGAAATAAGAAATAAAGATAATCGGTGAATGCTATCTAAATTCAGAATAAGTAATCATTTTCTAAGGGTAGAAACTGGAAGACATGAGAGAAAATACAACACTCTTGGAAAATTAGAACCAGTACCCAGATGTGACCGGCTTTGTCAGTTCTGTGATTCAAACCAAGTAGAGGACGAGGTACATTTTTTACTTCGATGTCCTAAATATATAACCATAGGAGAAAAATTTTATTTTCTCAGGTTGATAACCAATTCCCCAATGTGAAATATCTAAAGACAAATAACTTGTTTATATGGATAATGATAAATGAAGACAGCACATTTTATCTTTATTGTGTGAATTTTTAAAGCTTAATTTTACTGAAAGAAAACAGCATAATTGTACTGAATTATAATAATTATCTACTTGGTAAAAAAAATGTTAATTATAACTATCACAGTTATCTCTCTTTATTCACGAACTGGACTGCTATGCTATAATAACTTTTATGTCATAATCAGAGAGAGCGGAGTGAGAAAGGTTGGTATGAAACGGTGCCATTGATCGTGTCAAATTTTGTTATGCCCGAAAGGGCCCTGTGATTAGGAAAATAAAGAATTTGAATTTGAATAA